GCAAGAGCAGGGGAGGGTCAGAGAGAGAGGGAGATACAGAATCTGAAACAGGCTCCAGGCTCTGAGCTAGCTGTCAGCACAGAGCCCGACGCAGGGCTCGAACCCACGAACCGCGAGATCATGAGCTAAGCTGAAGTCGGACGCTTAACCGACTGAGCTACCCATGTGCCCCAAGCTGTATTTTTTTCTTTACCAAATTTGCCACTTCTCAAAGATTTTGACATGTTTCTTATTCAGTCATTTCAAAAATAATGTTTTTTTCTTCTGATTAAAAATTTTTGAGTGGAGGGGCGCCTGGGTGGCTTAGTCGGTTAAGCGTCTGACTTTCACTTAGGTCATGATCTCCCCATTCGTGGGTTCGAGCCCCGCGTCGGGCTCTGTGCTGACTGCCAGCTCAGAGCCTGGAGCCTGTTTCAGTCTGTGACTCCCTCTCTCTCTGACCCTCCCCTGCTCGCTCGCTCTCGCTCTCTCTCGCTCTCTCTCTCTCTCCTAGAAATAAATAAAAAAATTTTTTTGAGTGGATATATTTTGAGTTTATGTTGTGAATTCATACTTATTAATGTTTCAGGGTTAGGAAATACTTGCTCTTTTGAATACGACCTAGGAAATATCTGATTTTTTTAATTTGTGGACACTTTAATTTCACTATTCATATGCCTAGTGAATTTAAAGAATTCTATGTACATTTAAATAAAATATATATTCTGTAGTTTTGGGTTATGGAGAGCTGTGTATCTGTGTGTAAGTTTGAATCAGACTTGATAGTGAATTCTTTATCTTTATTTCATATCTGATGAGCTTTATTTCATATCTGAGAGCTATATTAAAGTCCAGTTTATTCATACACATATTTCAGTTTTACGTGTCAAGGAAATTCGTACTAGGTATGTAAGCTTTAATGACTGCTTCTTATTCTGTTGGAATTTTTAACATGACTTATTTTAATGTGAACTTTATCTTTGCCTTTTGCTTTTTGGTTTGGGTCCTGTTTTCTTTGCTATAGCTGCTTTGTTTTGTGCTTTCTAATATTTGTACTTTCCTCTCTAGCTTTTTGTTTTTGAATTTTCTGTGTCACTGTGCCTCACACACATACATGTTCATAAACATACAAACATACATATGTGTGTGTGAATATATGTACATGCACCCATATATGTAAATAAAATGTATGTGTATATAGTATGGGGGAGTGGGTGTTTGTGTGCACACATGTACAAAATATATTTTGCACATTTTGAAAGTTGCTGTTTTTTTAATTGGGAATTTAACCCGTTTACATTTATTATCCATGGATTTAAATGTTAACTTAGCAAATATTAAAATTTTAATTTCAAATTATTTTTTTAAAGACCTTGGAAGATACAGCTTTTCTTTGTTTTTGCATTCAGTATTTTGCTGGTGAGAAGTAATGACTGATTCTCTTTTCTTTGTAGAAGACCTGTTTTCTCTTGTGAGGCTATTAGAATTTTTCCTTTATCATCTTAAATTTCATCAGTGTTTCTAAGTGTGAGACATTTTAATATGAAGTGGGTGTTTTCTGTTTAGGAGGGCAATATGACAGATTTTAAGAAAGGGTGCTTTCGTAGTGATACAGAGGTCAGTGAACAGACATAAGGACTCTCTTAGCTCTCCCACCTGTTAAATGAAATTATGTTTAATAAATGTTAGCTCTTATGATTAGATATTTTCATAGATTTTCTTTTAGAATAATTTCTCTGATTACAATCCTTCTATTTTCTCTCCTTCTGGTACTCTTGCTTAAGAGACATTAGGCTTTGTAGATTAGTTTCTCATGTCATTTACTTGCTTCTCTTTCTGTCTTCATTCTTTTTTTTAAAAAAATATTTCTGAGAGAGAGAGAGAGGGAGCACGAACAGGGGACAGTCAGAGAGAGAGGGAGACACAGAATCCAAAACAGTCTCCAGGCTCTGAGCTGGCTGTTAGCACAGAGCCTGACGCAGGGCTTAACCCACAGACCATGAAATCATGAGCTGAGCTGAAGTTGGGATGCTTAACCGACTGAGCCACCCAGGTGCCCCCTGGCTTCATTTTTTATTCTGCGTTCTGGGAGAACTTAGAAGAAGAAGAGTTGGGTAAAGGTCAAAAAATTTGGTATATGAAAAATTTGATAATATTTGATATTTCTTAAGAGCACTTACCCCATTGCCATAGTTGATACAGAGTAAATACTTGATAATTAATTGAACAAGCTTTGGAATATCCTCAATCTTACTGTTACTGTTTCATAACTCATGTTTAACCTTAGTCTCTGAAATTTTGTTAATTCTGTTTTCTTTTGTATTATAGATCTATTTTTGAGAGAGCCTTTCTTATTTCAGTCTAGTGAAATAAAAGTTTTGGAAGTTCCTCAGACTTGACAGTTTGCAATGTGAACTCTAATTGAGAGTTTTTTCTTGAATGTGTTCTTGGACAGTTGTCAAAAGATATTATAGACCTTTTCTTTTTTTCTCTCCCTCTCCTCTTTTTCTTTTTTAATGATTAAAATGTAGAAAAAATAAAAGGCTATGTAGGAGTTTTAAATATTGATTCAAATAAATTGTTCAGTTGGTAAACCACTTAAGAACTATTTACTTTATCTCCATCTCCCCAAATTTTAATTAGCTTTGTAATTGTTATTTAGTTTATAATTTGTTACACTTCTAATATGAATTGTACAAGAATGCTGATGTTAGAGAAGTTCCCGGTGGAAATTTATTCTTTCATATTTTATACAATTTTACAAATGCTTTTTATTTGGTTTAGAAAGATCTATTCCAGCCTATATATAAAGTATACATTTTCTTTCAATGCCAAATGTCTTTCATTAGCTATGTAATTATAACAGATGGGCTTGAAGCGTTCACTTAAATGCAGTTAGTATTTTATTTCCCTTCCTTTATTCCCTGTTATCTTTATGTTATTGTAAATTAGTATGTTGGATACAATCCAGGGCTTCTCATAGTAGTTTAGCTAATGTCACGTAATATTTTCCATTGCAAATGTGATTAAGAGAACATGTTGGTGTTTCTAAAATGATATAGACATTGGGAAGAGGATCAATTTAAATTATTTTGTTTCCTTATTATGCACTTAAATAAAAGTCATTATATTTTATTTGCCAAAATTATTTTTAGTGCACAAGGCTTCTGTACAACTTGCCATATGCTATAAAAATAACGGACTTTAGTGGTTTATCTGAAATTATTTTGCTGTGTTTGTGAGTTAATATAAAAACTTTTCAGTGATGGGTGGGAGATGTGAGCGCACTTTCCTCCCTGCACATCATCTGGTCCTTTCAGTGTGACACCAGCCACTCAGACTACTTAGATGTTACACATGTTGTTAACCTGGGTTCCGTTAATACACTACCCATACTCAGACACCCTGAAAGGCTATAACATAAAAATAAATTTAGAAAAACCTGGTTATTACACTTTATTAGTGAGGAGAATTAAGGCTTTATTTCTTCTTTTCAGTGAAGTAACACCTCTAAGTATAAAAAGAGAACTGAAATGTGTATTAGCGTGTGGACTTGTGGACACTGTATACAACTAAAACGCCACAGGTATAACTAGGGTTTATGAGTTATTTGGAAGCTACAGTGGTCTGTTGGCTGTATTGAAAATGTGTAGAAGACTCATCAAGAGACACTAAACTTTGTTGTATTGGTTCAGTGCCATGGACTGATCATTACTAGGAGGAATTTGATGGCTCCTTCTATAAAATGCTTAAGTTGCTTATAATTTTAAGGCTATCGTATTCCCTGGTAGACTAGCAGAATACAGAGCAAGTGTAGTAGCATGTGAAAATCATCAGAGTAATGGTAGCAACTTTCTCTGTTTCAGGAGGCTCAGTTTTAACGACAGATTGTCTTATTTGGTTTTAGCTGTTTGTTATGTATTCCTGAACCACACTTAGCAATGGGATGACCAGCAGTGAGGTCCGTTTAGCACATAGACATACGAGCACCTGTTTATTGGGCCCTTTCTGTGTCCAGCAGCAGCCACAGTGCTGCAGTTACAGAGACGGCACCGTCTGCCGCCTCTGCTTCAGGATCCTGGACTAGGATAAAAAGAAGACGAGTGAATAATTCTCATGCGATGGCATGAATGCTAAAACGGAAGCCTGTACAAGAGAGAGAGCTAGGCGTCTGCAGAAAGAGATGTTATACTGTATGATGCAGGCCACCCAGCAAAAACCCATGAAGAAAATGACACCCAGAATGGCGTTGGGACGAGGAAGGAGAATTTATTAATCATTCTTAGGAAAGCTGAGTAATTGCCGCATCATAGATAAATCGCACGGACTTCCTACACTTGCATTGCCTTACACTTCCCCTGTGGTGCCTTTAGGGCTTCTATCTTTGACCACCAGCCGGAGTGTAGAGGCGGGTCGCAATAGGGGAAGGCGATACTCAGACAACTTCATTCTTCTTCACATTCTCTGTTTTTATTAAGAGATTTGAAACTCACTGCTACAGTGAGGTGTGTAGATTTGTATGTGGACTTTTAACCCAACAGTTGCCCTTTATTAACTGTTCTCCGAGTGGTTCATTTCAGGTTGATTTTTAGGTAGGGGGGAAATAGTAAGAGGTTTTTAAAAAATAGTAAGAGGTTCTGTCAACAGTATGGATTCATTTTGTTAGCCTGTTGGTGGGATTCAAACAGTGTTAAAATAACCCACAACTAGACACCTGCCTTTTCAATCGAAATATGATCGAAAATTTAAAAATTTTTTAGTTCTTGACAAAAATCAGTAGAAAAAGTGAAATGCTTTTAAAATGTGACTGGAAGGATAAATCTGTATTATACCAAGCACTCAACTAAGTATCTTAGATTTTATTAGTTTTAACAGATCTTTTATTTAGTATTATGGAAGTTTAAATTGTTTTACTAGTAATATATAAGACAGACTTTTTTTAATACCTGCCTAGCCCCACATTTGAATGCTCTTTTTCTAGGTTTTATAAAGATATTTCTTTCCCCTTTGCCCCCTTTCAGCGTTGTGCGTTTTGTAAGCACCTTGGAGCCACTATCAAATGCTGTGAAGACAAATGCACCCAGATGTACCATTATCCTTGTGCGGCTGGAGCTGGTACCTTCCAGGACTTCCGGAACTTCTTCCTTCTGTGTCCAGAGCACATCGACCAAGCTCCTGAGAGATGTAAGTTTACTACAAATCTACTTTTTAAACATTTATCGGTGTATTTACTTCAAATAACAAATGTTGTAAATTCCCTAAGGGTTATTCTGCTTGTATTAAAAGTTACATAGTCTTGATGTTCTAAAGACTTTAGATCCTAGTGATCCTTGGGGGGAATCTCTTACCACCAGTATCACTGATGTTAAATCCAAAAGGTATTACCTCAGAATTTCAAAGACCGTTTACATGTTTTAAATCCTTATTAAAAAATTTTCTTAAACCCCTGTAGAAATACTGAGTAAATAGTATTTTATCACGTACTAGAAAGTAAGTCATTTAAATAGTTAAACAGTATTCAGTGTCTTCTATACCAAAAAACCACTTAGAGAATTAGAAGATGATTCATTCAGGTGTTATTTCAGGATGGACATGAATAGGATCAGTAAACACTTTTGAAATTCTTAGTAGTTGCGTTGCCCTGATAATCATAATAGAAATCTGTTAGTCCTTCTTCTTCATTTGTCTACCTCAGTTATCTATAATTCTCAGTTTTGCTTTTTTTCCTTTGTTTTTTTGAACAGTATTTTATAATTATGTGAAAATGTTTAAATGTTTGAAATTTGTTATAGAGAAGATTATAAAACTCCTGTTTTTATTGTTAAATCTTGCCTATTTCTTAGTATATGGATTTCTAATGAGCATGTATGCTATGAAACTTTTTCCTTTAGTAAATTGAATTTTAGTCTCATTGTGAAATCTCTGTGATGCTTTATCCAGACTTTTTTATGTCACCCGTTAGTTACCTTATTGATAGCTTTTGTCTGTGTCTTAGCAGTATTGGGTAAGGTTATTTTTTTAAAATTGTTTCCAGCTCTCTGACACATAAATGTAGCTACCTCAGGCTTAAATTTCAGTAGTCTCAAGTACAGCTGGATTGCATAATCTCAATACCATAACTTCATCTTTAGTTAAAATTATTTAAAGTTATTTTGTGTTTACATGTATAACTATAATGTCCCTAATCACTGTGCAGACAGAAATTATAGATAGGGCAGACTGGTATGTCAGATTGCATTTAGGTGCATAAGGGATTTTAAGTTAAAATATGTTTGCGATTATATACTTAAACCTGGGAGAAAAAGAGCATTCCTGCACAGCAGCCGTCACGGGTGTTACTTAGTCTAAGACCCCACGTGGTAAGGTGCTTCACAAAGGTGCACCGGTTGGGAAGGCATGATCAGAGTTGACCATATTCTGGGTGGTATAATATGCCTTGCCTATCAAATAAAATAACTGTATGTGTGTTTAAGAATCTGGATTTTATTCATTGTTTTGTACTTAGTCATACCGTAGACTTCAGGAAACAACATACAAACTTTTCTGTGACCACGTTTCTGACGGTAGACATTTTGTCAGTTAAGGGCTCTACTGCTTCCTACTGCAGACTGTCCTAGGAGTGCATACCTCACTTAGTGTGAGGGCGTACATCCTGTGTAAAGTAAAGAAGTGTGAGGAGGAGGGCCGATGAGCTGCTGTCACTGAGCACGTGTGTACCATGAGAGGTCTGTGCTGGCACACAGAGCTAAGAGATACACTGAAGCTGTTGGCACTGTGCCTTGTTCCAAGATAGATTTGTGGAGACTCATAAAAATACATGAATAGTAGGATAAAATAAAACTAAAAATATGCAAGGAAATTTGGCCATGGGAAAATCAGGGTAGTATAAATATGAAGATAATAGTGACACTGGTATTTTGAGCAATAAATGCATACTTCCTAGACCTAAGCCACAAACTTGGCTCCACGGCTCTCCAGCAATCAACACAATGAAGGGAATGTGAATAGTGACCTGATTCATAGTAATGTCAAAAGAATTCACTCGATACTGAGACTATGTGTACATCATACACTGCAAAAACAGATCCCCCAGGGCAATGTCTTCTAACTGCCCTCAAAATAAGCCAGTGGTATGAAACCAAAGCCAGTTGAGTAAATTCTGTTCCTCAAGGATTTTAAACAGTGCAGGCTGTATACACAGCTTTCTGACTGTCCATCTTAATCCAAGGATATAGAGAACATTGCAGATAGAGTGTATTACAGTAATTTACAAGATAGTCTTCATAAAATCCTTCCTAAATATTTTTATGAAATCTTGTAGCTATCCAGTTATGTCATAGAACAAGGTACTTTTTATGTTTTAAAAATGCAGCTTAAATGGAGTGTCACTATGAAGGTTAAATAACAATTAATCAAGACCATGTAGTGTTTTACCTTGTAGACAGGAATTGCTTTACAAAACGGTAGTTATTCCAGCGCTCATCTAAGACCCAAGTCCTGCGCATACATTGAATATAATAATTTATGCTACTGCCAAAACATAGAGCAGCATGCTGGATAGTTAGCAGAGTTAGGAGTTGGACTGACGTCTTTTTATGAAAGTTGAAAAGTTAGAAAAAAAGGACCTCATTAGAAAGAAGTCCCAACAAAGTGAGCATCTGTGAGTTAGGCCAAGATTTTTATCAGAAAACAGTTTTAGGGTCATTTGTCATAGATGAATGCTGGTCACGGCCTCCTCATCATTTGCATGATGATGCAAGTGTACACTAACCTTGTCTGGAAATTTTACACTAAATATCCATTTTGGAGATGTAGCCAGATAGATTTATTGAGCAGCGTTCTGCTTCTCCAAGAAAGCCAAATGGCAAGGAGCCAACCATGCAGGATGAGAGGAAAGAACCTTCCAGGAAGAGTGAAGTGCTGCACAGGTCTTGAGGGGTGGGCCTGGCGGGACTGGGGAGTGGTAGCCAGTTACTCTGCCTGGAACACAGCGTCTGCCAGGTGACTGTGGAGACACCAGCAGAGCCAGCACAGACTACATCGCTTAGGCCTTGTGGAGAAGGGGAGGGGTTAGTTCTTTTGTCTATACTGAGAAGATTTTAAAGGGTTCAAATGTGGGAATATGGTCTCTTCTTCCTTCACTCCCCTCAGCCCTAACTTATTTTACTTCATTTAAGCTTTTAACTAGAACCTCGTTTTCTTGGTTGTCTGTGTATCTCTTGATACCAAGTCCTGCTGCTTTTCTGTTGTCTTACATTCTGTCGGTCCCTGACCTCTTTACCTGCCTGCTCTGTGGGCCAGCCTCTCTGGACAACATCCATGATTTACTTTTCTTTCTAGCGATTCCATTTAGGCCAGTGCTGCCTCCTGCCAATAATGTGAACAGAGATGCAGGTGCTGGGACGTTGGTGGAGGTCACCAAGCTGTGCTGACGGACCCTTAGCTGGACGCTGTAGTGTGACTTTTGGTGGCTCTTTACCAGGGCTCTTGTTCTGACGCACGAGCGTAGTCTCGCCTTCCAGCTTAGCCAAATGAAGCGGTCTGTGACAGGGTCCCTCCTCGTTTAGGCCCAGTGTTCTCATCTTCTCCTCCATCTCTTCTCTTGTCACAGCTGTCACTGGAAGTGACCCTGTCCACAGCCTTGTTTCTTCTGGCTCTTTTCTCGCTCCTTCTACATCATTTAGTCTCCTCATTATAGGCCTCTGCTGGCACTTGCCGTCTTACTTTCGTACACGTGCAGACATTCCTCACCTTCTTTGCGCTTCCAGCGGGAGTAAATGTCCATGAGTAAAGGGCATGATCTCTGGAGTCAAATTGACCTGGATTTAACCCCTGTTTTCTCTCAAATTAGCTTTAGCTCTAGTCTTTTACTCCATTTCTTCTGCTGTTTCAATTGCTTAAAGAAAAGTTTCACTTAGTTGTTTAATTATTGCTTCAAACATCATTTCTATGTGCCTTACAGACATATATGTACGTATATGTCTCTATGCTTATTTCTGACATGACACGTTGTCCAGTGACAGCATCTTTTGCATGACCTCTAAAAGGCTGTTTTAGTATTTCTGTACTTGTCTTCTCCCTGAATGGGGAAATGGTTGAAGCCAACTTCATTTCTTGACGTAGTGCCTTTTTTTTCTATTACTGTTTTTACATAATGCACAGTAAATGTTTTTAGACTGAGTATATCATGTGGATGCTTTTCTTTGTCTCACTTATTACCAGTGATCGATGCTAATCAAACAGCATGATCGTGTTGTCATCAAGGAACTGCTATCAAGTGTCACAGTAATTTCTGCTGCAGTGATACACACAGTTATCTTAGTGTAGGCTGGGCTTTGCTGTGTAAAACAGTGCTGGGCAGTAGAAATATGAGGCGAGCAATGTACGTAATTTAAGTTTCTCTACTCACATTAAACATTTTTAAAGTGACAGTTAATTAAAAAAGTATGTGTAACCCACTGTGTCCCAAAATATCAATATTTTAACATGTAAGCAATAAAAATTTTGAGATATTTCACATTATTTTCTTCCTACTGAGTCTGGAATCTAGGGTGCATTTTACATGTATTGCACATGTCACTTTGGATAATCATGTTTCAGTTCCTCAGTAGCCACGTGTGGCCAGTGGCTACCATGGCAAGTACCTGTCAGAACAGCAAACTCTGGAAAGTTTCACAGAAGCATTTTAGACAGTGTTCCCTGCACAGGAAAATAGATAGATGAACTGAGTAGTATCTGATCATCTGAGTGTAGTATTTGCTTCAATTTCTGTAAGTTTTGAGTAGGCAAAAAAATAAAAAGATTAGCTTTTAAATGCATGTAGCTTGAATGAGTAAATATTGGTACTCTCTTTTAGTATTAAAAAAATAATTCACTCTATTATGTCATTTCTATCGAACATGAACTAATTTATGACATTTCTATTTTTAAATTAAAGACTTATTTTAAATGCTGATCAAAGAGTCATTTAAAAGTGATTTTAGAAGTGAGTTCTTAGTTTAAGATGTATTTAATAAAGATTTGATTTGTGTTAAGCAGTTGAGGATACAAAGTTGAAAAAGACAAGGACCTTATCCTTTAAGGGTTCATAATATTGTGTTATAATCACCTAATTATATAACAGTTTATTCTCAGCATTTGAGGAAAAGGAACATTCAACAACTAGATGGATATTTATGTGTGGTAACATTAGATATTCAGGGCTATGTGTGAGCAGAGTTTTGAAGGCCTCTTTGGCGAGGGTTAGGGGCACAACAAAGGGACAACATTTCAAGCGGTGACAACGATGTAATGACACAGTCACCAAACAGCACAGGGTGTTCATGTGCGTAGCAAGCAGCTTGCCGTCACCAGGCATAGTGAGTGGTCCTGGGATTCCACTATTTGAAAACTTGCTCTAGAGGTGTAGATGATTAGGGAGAAAGTCGGATCTACTCACAGGGATCCCATTTAGAAGATATTGTAATTACCAAGATGAAGTGGGCTGGACTGACTATACACATTGAAGGAAGAAGGAGGTATAGGAAATTTACTCAGTAAGACTTGATGTCTGCTTGGATGTGTTGGGTCAGGGAAGAGGAATAGTGAGACTAAAGTTTCTGTCTTTTTCCAGATAATTGAGTAAAACAGGAGAGGTTTAGGCTTTAAAAATGTTTTATTTTAGAGGTGTTAAGTTTTGAGTATTTTTAGAACATTTGGCTGTTGAGGTCCAATTAGACTTGAGAATAACATTATATAATTTACAAGGAAGTTTGGGGCTAGTGATATAGATTTGGGAATCATGGTGCTATTTAACATGTTACATGAGAGTTGATATGATCACAAAGGGGAACCAACCGTAGAAGAGGATGAAATCCTAAATCCTAAAATACTCCAGCATTTAGAGGGATCATTAGGGGTAGACTAGCCAACACGGAAGAATGAGATGGAAGCATAGGAAACCCAAGGGGAAATCGGGGAAAAGCTGCCATCACAGAAGCCAAGAGAAGGGGAATTTTAATGTGGGAGTGGATAGTAATGGAAATGCTGCAGCATGTAAAAAGAGAAGGTCTGGAAAGTCAACCATTGGGTTTCATAGATCATTGGTGACTTCCTGGAGGTGGCACCAGGTGTGTGGCAGGTATGCGGCCACCCTGACACACTCCAGGGCTTGCTTCTGTGCTGCCTTCAGACTACGGATGGTTCCTACCATTTAAAAAGGACTCTAAAAGAATGAGAAAAAGTCTGTATATCAGAGATTTTATGGCTTATAAAAACAGTTTGTCAAGTAAAAGGAATAGATTATTACTCTGCTTACAGATGGTTGAATAGCAAAAAAGAAGGTAGAAAGGGCTTAAAACCAGAGGGGACTGACCAAACCTTCAAAAAATAAAAGGGAGGGAAAAAATGTTCATATATACAATTTAAAACAGTCTTTGGATAATCAGCTAATCAAACCATTTAGTATGTGTCACATATAGACATATTTATGTATATCATCAAATTGGTATGATGTTTAGAACATTATTTTTCTTACTGTAATGCGTATGAGTTTACTTGGCAGGACAGTTCTTACATTTTGGTTTTATGGTAAAAGAGCTTAAAAAGTGCTATTTCTTTGAATCCACATTTAGGGATAGAGGATGTCCATGATTACATAGCTTTTGATACCTTTTTATGAACTGGCAATTAATATAGATGAATATAGAATTAGTATATGAAGTTTTGTATTTGTGTATGACTATGAAGTGTCCATCTTTAATGTTCCCCTTCATACGATGTTTTCCAGTATTAAACAATATTTGATCTGAAAAAAATTAGTCTGTTTATGCTTAAGAAGCATTTAATTTAGTTGATATTAACATTTCTTAATTTTGTCTCTTGACTTAATCTTGTTAATTTTAAAATATATTTAACATCCAAATAAAATGGTTCTTTTTGCACCGCAAAGCATTTTCTCAGTTGATATTTTCCTGTTTGGTTTTCAGCAAGCAGGTGTTGAGCACTTAGTAGGTGTCCCGCATCGTCCTTGGTACCAGACCTGCTCTGGTCTCAGGTAGACGTAGGCACAGATAAAGTATGTCACAACTTTATGATTAAATTTAAGGTAATTAATTTTAGATTAAATACATTAGTGCTTTTATTGAGACCTTACTCTCATTGGATATCAGTTCAATGTGGATAACATCGAGTGTCTGAAAGGTGTACCATGCAAATTCCCTTCAAGTGATTTTTAAAGTGTAAAGTCAGAAAAATATTAAACTCTTCTACAACAATTTCATTGTTTTACTGTTAATTATAGCAAAGGAAGATGCAAACTGTGCAGTGTGCGACAGCCCGGGAGACCTCTTAGATCAGTTCTTTTGTACCACTTGTGGGCAGCACTATCATGGAATGTGCCTGGATATAGCGGTTACTCCATTAAAACGTGCAGGTTGGCAATGTCCTGAGTGCAAAGTGTGCCAGAACTGCAAGTAAGTTTTAATTTCAACTCCAAGGTGTGTATTGAGTTTAAGAGAGACCCTATTATTAGGTGCTAAAGGTTTGTGTAATATGATAAAGATTGTTCATACTGCAGCCGTATTCATTCCCACTGATTTCATCATGTCTTTACGAAATTACTAGATGTTAACATTTATATTATTTTGCAACAAGTCTAAATAAAAACTAATTTTAATAATTTTAAATTCCTCTGGTTACCTAAAAAGCTAATTTAAACTTGGCGAACATTTTAAATGAATGATATTAACAATTTTAAAAGAAGCAGTAGAAAAATAAAGCGACTAATTTTGAGAGAGGCTGGGGTGGAGATTTAATAGGAAAATCTCTAATTGCAGAAAGTTACATGAGAGTGAGTGAAAGAATCAGTGATGTGTTTGAATTTCCATTCTAGGAAAAACTATTTATACTAAGACTACTTAAAAAATAAAAAAGAAAGCTGTATGTATCTGAAAGACAGTTACATTCAGTAGATCGTACTCACCATAATACTGAAGCCCAGTTATACGGCATATAAACATTTGGAATGGTGTTACCTTTTCCTATTTGTTGTATTCCATCCTTTGGTTATTTCTTCAATCTTTTTTGTGATTTTTCTCCTGCTACTAATTAGCATGATAATTTGGGAAGTTATCCGCATCTGTAGCAGTCTTCAAATTGTTTACAAGCTGAGGACTTTTGTAACAGAAGAAATTATGCCCACCACTGCCATGATCAGTCTGTTTTATTTCTAATTTAATTTGATAACAGTAAGCATCAATATCTTAACAATTATGTGGAATGAATAGGACCATGTGCTTTTTATATTTTGGTAAAAATTAAAATATCAGTAAACACGTATTTGATAGCTTGTTATCTGTGCCTAGTTTCTTGGGAAGGAATAAGAGGACTTGAAGGATTGCTTTTCCTCGAAGATCTTTCCATGTAGCTAAAGAGATAAAACATGCAATTTTATATGTAGAATTTGTTAAAATGAATGAGAAGTAACTAGAGGCCAACTAACCCATCTTCCTGTTTACTTCTGTTTGTCCCCAGGTTTTACTCAGCGGCTCCTCTCTCCACTCTTCTTCTTACATTCCCCAGTTTTTCTTTTCCTGTCCTCTTGAATTAAATTCTTAGTCTCTGAGTGTGGCTGAAAGCCGAGAATCCCGGCTGAGCTCATGCTTTAGGGCAGGGGCTCGGGCTTTGGGGCAGAAGAGCATTCAGGGAAAGAGTTGAGGCTTTTTTTTTTTTTTTTTTTTTTGACTACAGTTCTTAATAATTTTGAGGAGATGATTCTTAGACCTGTTTATTTAGAACTGATGCTCAGTGGATATTCTAAGTTCTTCAACCAGAATTTATGTTTAATTCTCCGTGTCTTTAATGTTCACATTTTATACCTGAAACCAAGAGGACTCAAGTTTATTTTATTCAGGAGTCACACAATTAGTAAAATGGCAGTCTGAATACAAATATAGGTCTGATGCCAAATTCTATCCTCTTTTTATTATATGACAGTGTCTTTCCAGTTCACAACGCCAACATTTGTTCCTTCCCGTGCAGCATCACCTGTCAGTTACAGCTTCTTCCCCTAGAAAGGATGTTTACAAGATGTTTAAAAAATAAAGGCCAGAGTCCTTCATCTTCCCTTAACCTTCCTTCTCTGCAGGAATCCTAACCTGGCTAAAGGAGGTTCACCATAGGTGAGCACTCAGTAAGGATAATCATATAAGGGACCTTAGGCAGGTGTCTGTTTCATCCTTCAGGGGGTTAACTCTATCATCTGAGCATAGACAAAACAGACACTGAGGTATTTATGAACTGGGCAGTTCCTAGGACTGATTCTTTTCATGATTACTTATGTTAGAAACATAAGTTTAAAGATAAGGCATCATTAATGCTATCTTATTTTTTAGACAATCGGGAGAAGATAGCAAGATGCTAGTGTGTGATACGTGTGACAAAGGGTATCATACTTTTTGTCTTCAACCAGTTATGAAATCAGTACCAACCAATGGCTGGAAATGCAAAGTAAGTTGTTTATTTTTTTAAGAAAAATATCATCATCTGTATGCTTTTCATATAGACCAGACAAATCGGATACCTATTCAAATCTATACATTATCATCAACTTAAAAAAAAAAAACAGCTTTATTGATGTATAATTGATATTCAATAAACTGCACATATTTAAAGTCTGTAATTTAATTTGACACATGTATACATTTATGAAACCGTCCTTACCTTCCAAGATAATGACCAGATTCATCGTCCCTAAAAGTTTCATGGTGCCCCTTGGGAATCCCTCTTTTCCAGCTGTTTGCCCTCCTCCACCTGCGCCCCCCCCACCCCCCCTCCAGGCACTCTGCTGTCACTCACCGTTGATTAATTTGCGTTTTGTAGAGTTATATATAAGTGATATCATATAGTATACACTCTTGGTGGGGGTGGGTCTAGCTTTTTAAACTCAGCAAGATAATATTTTGAGACTTACCCATATTTTTGTGCATGCCATCAGTGATTCCTTTTTACTGCCAACTAGTGGACGTAACATAGTTTATCACATCACCTGTTGGTGAGCATTTGGGTTGTTTTCAGTTTTAAGCTGTCATGAAAAATGCTGTTATGAACATGTTAACGTTTGTATGGTGCTTCATGGCTTAGAAATTGTTTTTGAATGATTCATCTTTAATCTCTCCAGAAACACTCTGAAATGTAGTAGACCCTTATGAAGATACTGAAAACGCAGAGCTATAGTTTTAAAATTCATTAATTTAAAATCCAAAGATAAAACACTCATTTTGGTGATTGTATAGTGATTTCATATGCACATCACATTTTTATGGGTGTAACTACACTAGAATTAAATGTTTGGAATATATGGTAGATTCATATGTATGTATATTGTCCCTCCCCTGTGCTAGTTTTAGTGATTATTTACTTAGATATTTATTTTTATATGGTGTTTCAAGTTTCCCTTGGTTTTGAGAGAGAAGGTCTTGTAGACATTTTTTCATTGCTGAAGATACCAGTCTTTCTGCTTGGTATGACACCCTTACGATGTATTTCCAGTTACTTTTAACTTTTTCCAGGTACTCTCTTAGGCAGTGATTCTCCCTTCTTTCGTCTGTTTTGTTACCTGCGTCTTTATGGCCCCGCAGTGCTCCATGCTGGTCTCTGTAAGCTTCCTGAGGAAGCTCCGCAGGCTCCATGTCTCCAGACCCCGTGGACTGCCCGGCAGCTCTAGCTCCTGAAGAGTTAGTGCACCACCACCAGGTCCACAGCAACACATTCTAGAAGTACTTGACTCGGAAGCACAAACTATTTAAAGTCTTAAAGTGAAACTAGAAGAATAGATCAAATTTATCTTTAATTTTCAACGGACTGAACACAACTTTTTTTTTTTTGTTTCTGGTTTGGAAGATATTTACCAACAGTATTTACTGTGACTTTTCTTTAAATGTTCTCTGGGATGGCTCAGTCATAAAAGTAGTTCATGCGCTTCCTTTGAAATTGATATGGGCAAACTAATACATTCTAGATGAGAGCTAGTGAGGGCCTCGTGGTCATGTTCACGTTTACTTATTTGTAGCAGCAGAATAGGGACAAAAACTCAGGTTTCCTGTCTTTTTTTTTTTTAATATTTGATAGAGCACAAGCAGGGGAGGGGCAGGGAGAGAGAGAGAGAGAAGAGAGAAAATCCCAAGCAGGCTTTGCACTGAGAGTACAGTGTGGGGCTTGAACCCACAAACCATGAGATGATGACATGAGCCAAAACCGAGAGTCAGATGCTAAACTGACTGAGCCACCCAAGTGTCCCTCCGGTTCCCTGTCTTCCCAGGTTTTATCCTGTATATAGTGCCATCTTCCTGTGCTGTGGTACTGTACTTCCTTGAGGGGCAGGGCTTTTCTCTCTAGATTAATTAAGAAATGTTTCTTCATCTAAATTTCATTTTGTATGAGGATGTAGATCCTAAGAAACTAAAGACTCTAGATCGATAGGCTATCTCTCTATATCCCCCAGGTTGAGATTATTATTATATTGTTATCTCAGTTTAATAGAACATACATGAAGCTAGGTGTAAACTTTTTTTATCTTCAATATGTACACTGCCTTAAAAGACTAGTATGAGATAAATATTAATTTACTCTGACATAACTAAATTCCCAGGATTGGTTTCAAAAGAAAGATATTTTCTCATGCCCAGTTCCGTGTATAAGCTTTCCCTCTGGCCTTAAAAAAGTTGGTACAGAGAATGCCTTTTGTATTTGTATACAAATAGTATTGATAAGGTCTTGACCATGTTTACTAGCTCAGAATAATCAGACCTCAAAGTGCCAACAAGCAGCCCTTCAACAGTGGATGTAACGAAGTGTCAACCATAACTATAGTGTTTTGTTCATGAGTGCACCATTGTGGCACAATTGAAATTTGCACTAAATGGGGTATTGACCCAGTTTCTAAAATTTTTTTATTTTATATTTTTATTTATTTCTAGGAGAGAGAGAGAGAGAGACAGCGTGAGCAGGGGAGGGTCAGAGAGAGAGGGAGTCACGGACTGAAACAGGCTCCAGGCTCTGAGCCGGCAGTCAGCACAGAGCCCGACGCGGGGCTCGAACCCACGAACCGCGAGATCATGACCCAAGCGAAAGTCGGACGCTTAACCGACTAAGCCACCCAGGCGCCCCGACCCAGTTTCTAAAATATGGAACAGTTCAGTGGATTCCTCATTTCTAGTTACTGGTGTGTTGTTTGCCATTTAACTGTGGTCAGTGGATGTGTATGCAGACAGGAACCCTCGCTTCTGGCTCTCGGTGCCTGTGCTGGCTGCATAGCTCATTCTTGCCATAATTTCACTGTGTAAAATCTTGGATCTTTCGTACATTGTCGATGCACTTGGAACATAAATACAAAAGCTAAATACAGGTATTAAAATCTGCATTGTGGGACCCTTGAGGGTCAGTTAAATTTTAATTTTTTTTTTAATGTTAGCACTTATATGAAAATTTTAACATTTTCAGCAAAGAGCCCTCTAAGCCTCTGTGGTCCACCTGCGCCCTCACTTTCTTGCCCTCTAGGCACAGAAACACGCCCGTTACCCTCCTGTTGATCGCCAGGTTTGCCTCGACTTCAGAGCGGCATTCAGAGACGTGGCATGGGGCTGCGTGGCGTGGCGTGCCCGAAATGGTCCCCGGAGCCCGAGGGGGAGGGCTTCCCGGGCTGCTGGGCTAGCAGGCTGTGAGGTGGAAGCAGCCTGAGGCTTCTTCTAGAAGCTGGAAAGGGGTGCCGGCGGCCGGAGGGAAGCGCTGGCCGAGTTGGGGTGGGAGGTCGTTTGCTCTCTTAGGAAGATCCTGGAAAGAGAGGCGAGCTCACCTGGAGGACCCGGAGGATTGGGGGAGGGGGAGGGAGGAGCCGCTGAGGAAGCTGAGCACCGGCCCAATGCCCCGCCCACCGCAGGTGAGGGGCACCTGGGACTTGCGGCCCATCACCTGGTTCTACGGCGGTGGGCGTGAGTTCCGGGCGGCGGACTGAGGGTGGGGGCCGGAGGGGAGGGCCTTCTCGCCCGGGGACGGAGATCCTGGGTAACCGCCCTCAGGTGTGGCTCCCGGAAGGCGGGGCCTGGGGGCCGACGAGGTGGAGCTGCAGCCGGGGTCTCGGCAGTTCCGGTTCCTTCCTGTCTGCAGGGCTGGGCTTTCGTGGGTTCGTGTGTTTTCTCGTCTTGATCATTGGGCCACAGAAAAAAACCTGCTGCCGTCTGATTTGTATGTTTATGCTTTCATCTCCTCTACGTACCTTTACTTGTCTTTTTTTTCGTTTCCGAAATAAGTTGAATTCGGAATTCGTTTTCTTTACTTTCTTAAGGGGGGAAAAGTATATTTAAGACTATAAGTTTACCTTTGGTTATAGCTGTGGCTGCACCCAAATTTGGTGTATTTGTTACTGCCTCTGTGTACATCTGACCTAATCACTGTATCTATTTTTAAGGCGTACTTAAGCGTGTAAATTTCTGCGTTAATTATATTTGAGCCAATAATTAACCAGCGTAGTTTTCTTTTTTCACAACTAGTGACTTTAACGTGTAGTATTTGTGTTTACTAATTTCATAAAGTCTTTTTTGTTGTTTGACTAGTTGATTCCACAAGGTATTAGGGTGTATATAAAATTGCTGCAGTTTCTCTCATCAGTTTCACTTTGTATTTTACGGGTTTTTTTTTGTTTCTTTGCTTTTATAAATGAAACCAATATTTGCGGTTGTTCTTTAGCAAGTAGGTCAGGTCAGTGTTGATAGGTAGTGCTTTTTTTTTTTTTTTTTTTTTAAATCAATGTAAAGGCACTCTTGTGAAAAATGCCTTTTTTTGGAGGGGCTGAATGGGGGACCAGCTATTTTTTGTTTGCCTGGCAATATGGCCTCAGGGCTTTAGTTTGTCAGTTGAATGTGATCTTTTTGCATCCTTTTATTTTGGATCCTTCTGTGTCATTTTAAATGTATTCTTTGAAAGATTTAATAGACTTAACCATTTAGATTAATGGTTGCTATTGAGATGCTTGGCTATTTTAAGACAAACTAGTCCTTTTGATTTCCTTTCCGTTTTTCTGTTCCTTTTATTTCCTGCAATAATTTGCAATTAAGAATCTTATTTTGTGAATGCTAAGTTATAAGTGTTGAAAATATAAATGTTTTCTTCTCTCACTTCTCACTGAAAATGAAGAAGTGAGAAATTTTCCTCTTCCTTTCTTTCCTCTCTTTGTTTTAAATTAAGACTGTAAGAGTTGTCATGTTTTCCTTGCAAAAAATATAGTTTCTTTATAAATTCCAGTCTCATTTAGTTCCCAGTTTTTTGGATTCTTGGTTAAGGAATAGTCATTTTTCTGAAAGCCTACATATCTGAACCAGACAGTTGTTGCCTTCGGACTACCACAAGAACTTGTTTTGATATTATTTTGTCTTATAACTTTTTCATGCTGTGGAACCCCCCCACCCCCCAATTTTCCCAGTTTGTGGTATCACAGAAGAAAGATCTTTTTTTTTTTTAACCCATTCATTTAATTATAATAGGTTTTTTTTGTTTTTTTTTTTTGTTTTTTTGTTTTTTTTTTTTTAAACTAAGAGCTTTGGGATCTTTATTTCTGTCAGTTCTTTGGAATTGTTTCGAGATTGTATCTGGTTGTGGTTCTACATTCATTAGTGTTTCCTGTAACCCACTGACCACGGTCAGTCCAAAGAAAAGGTGTGAAGCAGTGTTGGTTAACTTTGCCCTTTTTTTTATTTTCTTTTTTTCTTTTAGATTTGCTGTCTTTACAGTCTCTTAAATAATCTTTCGTAACATCTAGATAATTTTGTTGCTTCTTAAAATAAGGAACCATTATCATCTTTGCTGTGTTTTTCATTATCTTGGAAAGTGTCTTCAGAAGTCTCGGTTTGTTTCCTGACGCTGTTCTCTTTCATCTTTGTCTTGCTTGCTCTCTTCCTCATCGGCTGTCTGTAGTGGTCTGCCGTGCCTTTCACAGTGACTGAACCGTGTGTGATATTGCTGAGAATACAACTGGATACTTTTGTTTTTGCTTTCATTCTGTTCTGTGCAGGTATTACAATCTGGGCAAAAGATCAGGCTACGGGGTCAGCTCCGCTTTTCCAATTACTAAATACAGGATCTTTGGCAAAGTATTTTACTTCCTTAAGCCAGTCTTTCTCCTCTAGAGAATGTTAATAGAACTTAGCTCATAGGGGTGTTGGACTTAGCGAGATGATGCCTATAAAGTGCCCGTGTGATGCTTAAATTAAGTACCCAAATAATCATCTTGGAGTTCTTCACACGAAGCCTTAGGCACTGAGCAGTTTGAAAGAATGATCTTCTTTTTCTGCTGTTAACTTTTTTCATAGATGTCTGTAGGCTTTAGTTATAATTTGGTCGCTTATTTAACATTGGAAGGCTTGCTGCTATCAGACCCCTTGGTGGAGGTTAGAGACGTGCAGCAAATGCATCTGCCTTTACGGGGTGTCAGGCTTTCGAGGCTGCTCACATCGAAGGTGAGGGCCATCTTCTTAGGAACTTTGTTGTATACCAATCATTGTTGGGTAGGTTCTTTTTCTGCTGTCTCTGTCAAGAATGCTTGTGGGTTGGTATGTCATGCGTTTTTAAAAACTATTTTGAAATAATTTTAAACTTTAGAAGCTGGAAAAATAAAAGTACCAATATGCCATTTACCTAGATTTACCTTTGTTAGGATTTTGATAATCACTGTGCACCCCCTTTCTGGCATCTCCTTCCCCCACCTCTGTTTTTTCGCCCTGAACCATTTGAGGGTTAAGTTACATACGCCGTGCCCCCCTTTACCCTTAAACACTTCAGTGTTGATTTCCTAGTAATAGGGACAGTCTTACATGATAACAGCAGCACTGTTACCAATTTCCTATGTTTCCATCAATACAAGTATTTTCATCTAATCCTTATCCATATTTCAATTTTGTCACTTGATCTAACACCCCTTATAGCATCTGCCCCTTCCCATGCAGGTTCCAGGGTCTAGTCTAGGGTAAAGTATTTAGTTCTCTCTTTGACTCTTCTTAATCTGGAAAATTTCCTAAGCCCTTCTGTCTTTCCGATATTGACATTTTGAAGAATAGAGTTCTTCCCCACTTAACTGGGTTTTTTCCCCTCCAAATAGAAGTTTTCTCATTTTGTCTTTGTCTGAATCTTCTTCACAGTTATGTAGAGAGTTCTGTGTTCTTGGTCAGATTACTGTGTAAGAGAGGATGTGCCCTTCTCAGGCTGTCACTGCTAGAGGCACCTGGTGCTCATCTTTCCCTCATAGGTGATGTGAATTCTGATAATTTGGTTAAGCTGCTGTCAGACTTCTCTGTTTTTTCTCTCTCAATATAAAACATATGAGAAGATATTTAAGACCGTGTGAATTATCTTCCTCCCGAAAATTTCTTCCAAGACTTTAGGAACCATTGTTTGATGTGTTTTTGCATGTTGGTTGTAAAATGATGCTTTTCCAGCCCTAGCATTCCTTGACATTTCCCAGTCAGCCCTCTGCACTCTACTGTAAGTACGCTCTCTGTTTTATTACATGTCACAATTATTTGTCAGCATTGACTGAGAAATTCCCATTATTTTCAGTAATTTGCAATTCTTTACCTAATTCATTTTACTCTCAGATTGTCCCATATTTGCCTTTGGTGGGCTCTTCAGTTTGTCTTCTGTGCTTTAGTGACATGCCCTCACCAGTTATCGAGCACTTCATTACATTTTCGCATAACTGAGATGTCCCAAGCTCATCTTACTCCTTCTTGCTCCAGCCGGGGGATCAGCCTGCTTTTCCATAAGTAGTTCTGGTTCCTTTGGTGGAAAATGGGTGCGAGGTGTGCTCATTGCTGGGGGCGTGTTTGCGTCTTTGTCCTTTCAGCAGATGGGACAGGAAATACATGCATGGTTATACACACATTTACGTACACAAATAAATGTGTCTGTACTCACACATGTATGTAATTATAAATGACAATTCTGAGTAGAACGTTTTATGTAGACTTTTCAAAGCATGTTAATCTTCTATATATTTTTTAAAAAATAAGATAAAGGGAATAAAATCTGTTACCGAGAGCAAACTGAGGTAGGTTTGTTTCTGTGAGCAGTAGAGGCAAGGTGGTGGTCTTGGGACTAGAAGAATAGATACCCAGAATGAATGGGAGAAAGTCAGAACTGGAGTCCCTGGTGTAAATCCATTTATCAATTTATAAATTATATACGTGTGAATATGTTAATTCTCACCTCTTGAACCCCAAAATTTATATCCTACTTTGTTAAATTCTTTTACTGAACTTATGGTTGATCCTCTGGGAGTTTCTAAGTACACTGTCTTGGCATCTGCGGATAATTTTCTATCTTTTTTTCCTATTATTCTGCCTGTTCTCCTTTGTTTCAGTGTTTACATTGGCTTCAGAACCAGGTTAATTAGATAATAGTGAAAGTAGGTGGTACCCCTCCCTTGTTCCAGACCTTGCTGGGGTGCCTCTAGGGCTCCCCACTTAAATAAAATGCTGGCTTTAGGATCCAGATATGTATGTATATCACATTTAGAAAATACTCCTCTGATTTTATTTTTCTGAAGAGGGTTTTTTTTTAATTTGGAATGGGTTTTGATCCTCCCCCCCCAGAGGCTTTTTCAGCATTTATTGAAATCCAATAATTTATTTTTTCTTTTCAGACCTAATAATGTTTCAGATTTTATTATAGATATTCTAATATTTAACCATTCTTGCATATCGAGTGTAATCTCCATGTGCTCATATTTTATTCAGGATTTTTGCCTCAATATTTAGGAGTGTGTTTGTTTTGAAACTGTAAGACTTTAGCAAATCTGTGGTTCGTGCTGGTTTCTCTTTTTTTGATAAGCAAATCTTTCATACTCTGCTCAAAAAGTACAATTCCACCCCCCACCCCTCTGGTGTTTTAGATTGAAAATGGGGGTGGATAATGAGAGCTCACACTGTATCAGCTGTGTGCCCGGGATTTTAAGACAAGTAGGCTACAGGTACAGGAAAGGGTCTGGCAGGCCTTGCACTCCGTAACCAGTCCTACGGGAAGGATAGTGCTTCCTGTTTGAAAACGTGAGAAGCCATAATTGGATTTTGATGTGGAGAGATTACTTTCACGCTTTCAGACTCCAGGTCATTTGGAGGGGGTCATGATATTTCTTTCGTCTAAATTCTTGTTTTTAGTTCCTGAGCCACCGACAAGCAAAGAAGTGCCCTAGAAGCACCAGTTTGTTTTCACAGCGCAGAGTTGAACACTTAGGCCACAGAAGCTACTTCCTGATTCTGGGATGGGTCTTCCTTCCTTTCCTTCCTTCTTTCTTTCCTTTTCTTTTTTAATGTTTTATTTATTTCTGAGAGAGAGTGTGTGTGAGCAGAGGAGGATCAGAGAGAGAGGGAGACACAGAATCTGAAACAAGCTCCAGGCTCTGAGCTGTCAGCACAGAGCCCCATGCAGGGCTCGAACCCATGAACTGTGAGATCATGAGCTGAGCCGAAGTCTCAGCTTAACCAACTGAGCCACCCAGGCGTCCTGAGGGATGGGTTTCTTTTTTGAAGTTTGGGTTGCTATGTTCTTGGTTTTCCTCCTTCCCTATTTATGTTTTCTTGGATGTCTCTAGCCCCTATTTATGTTTTCCTGGAGGTTTAGTGCAAATTGAATGATGTCTCCTTAGATGTTCAAGAGTGCACTGCTTTTTCAAAAACATACACCCTAAATGAGTGTCAAGAAAATTAAAGGTTAATGTAGAATGTACAAGCTTTTCATTGATTTCACGAAAGTTCATTCCAGAACGGCAACACAAATGCATAACAGACTGTTTTTGTTTTCATTTTTTCTGGTGTTTAGAATTGCAGAATATGTGTAGAGTGTGGCACACGATCTAGTTCTCAGTGGCACCACAATTGCTTGGTATGTGACAGTTGTTACCAACAACAGGATAACTTATGTCCTTTCTGTGGGAAGTGCTACCATCCAGAATTGCAGAAAGACCTGCTTCACTGTAATATGTGCAAGAGGTAAGAAGGTACAGTTCTCCTACCGAAGGGTCCTGTCCGTTCTGTTCACCTGACCATTGGTGCTGTCCTGTATCTTTGAGCTCCAAGCTTTTATCACTCCAGTAATCCTTTTAGTACTGAGTGCTGTTAAAGATGAAATGAAATTACATATTTAGGAGTCTGAAAGGCAGAAGGAAGTGAATGGGAGAAAGACTTAAAACGAGCATTGAGAGGGAAAAGTAAGGAGGAAGTAGTTTAAAAATATGGAAGTAAAAATAAGTGAACACCTTTAATGACATCTAGAAATGCCAGTTCCTTTTCTAGAACCTTTACCAGTTGCCAACCCCACCAACCTCTCTCCTATCTATCATTCTTAACCCTTCCCACACCCAGTTTTCAGCAACTGCCTCTTTTTTTCCAAGATAGTAACTTGTCTTTAAATTAGAAAATTTTATTTAAATATATTTATCACTGCAGATGGGTTCATTTAGAATGTGACAAACCAACAGATCACGAGTTGGATTCTCAGTTCAAAGAAGAGTATATCTGCATGTATTGTAAACACTTAGCCGCTGAAATGGACCCCTTACAGCCAGGTGATGAAGTGGAGATGGCCGAAGTCACTACAGGTAAACTTGGGAATTTCTCTTTGTTTTTAATGATACTGTGCCAGCCAGTCACCGATAGTATTATTTTAGTAACGATGAGGGAATCCTGTATATCAGATCCCATTGTATTCTTAATTTCTCAATCTTTAAATAGTCATGTGATTTGGGTCATCTCTGAATCTGATGGCTGACATTGAATTTAGCTACTTTCCAGCCCTTCACCTAATTGTGGAATTCCAGCACCAGTGTGCCTTACTTCCGCCTGTGATCTTGGAGCCGACAGTAGTTGTCGTCAGTGTTTGGCCCTATGCCTAATTTATACTTTATAACCTGGAATTTTTCACTCCAAACAAGTTTTAGTTTAGTGTTTTTTTTTTTTTTTTTTTTTTAAGTTTTTTTTTTTTTTTTTTTAGAGAGAGAGAGAGAGAGGCAGGCAGAATCCCAAGCAGGCTCCGAGGTTTAACTGCAGAGCCCAGTGCAGGGCTCGAAGTCATGAACTGCGAGNGAGAGAGAGAGAGAGAGAGAGGCAGGCAGAATCCCAAGCAGGCTCCGAGGTTTAACTGCAGAGCCCAGTGCAGGGCTCGAAGTCATGAACTGCGAGAGCATGACCTGAGCTGAAATCAAGAGTTGGACACTTAACCAGTTGAGCCACGCAGGCACACCACAAGTTTTAGTTTTGTAATGTCCTATTTAAATGTTAATTCACATCTGTGATTCCCAAATATTGTTTAGGTAATTTTAGTAGTATACTGTTGTCAGTGGTAAATATAACAAGTTTCTTCGTGGTAAAGAAAACAGATCTGCTCACCAGACCATTTTTCTTTTCATCAATATAAATTGTGACTTTTACAAAGTCTTATGTTACCATCTGTGAGAGGTTTAAGTAGATGCATCTTAAGTACTAATGTTTCCAAGATGTCCTCAGTATACACTTGTGCAATGACCTTTTAAAAAATAAAGTGCCAGTAACCTTCTAATTCATAATTTCCATGTTTTTCCATCAACATGTAAAATGTAGATACATTTGATGGTAAAATTTTGAATGTGAGGAAGAATTTATGGCATTTTGGGTGGCAATTTACTGTCACTACAGCAAAGTAATAGTTAAAAGAAAAAAAACAACAGGAAGAACTTACTCTAAGCTAAACAATAAATAATTTTGTCTTAAGATTGTAACAATGAAATGGAAGTCGAAGGACCTGAAGACCATATGGTATTTCCAGAGCAAGCAGTTAATGAAGACATCAGTGGCCAGGAGTCGACACCTGGAATTGTTCCAGATGGTAAGCATGTTTTCGGTAATGGGTATAATATATTTTCTGAAGAAAGTGTATATGCACGTTGAATATGTGAACATATACTGAAACTTTACTAAATAAAAATGAGCCATGAGTGTAGTCACTTAGGTAATTATTTCAGAGAGGGGCTTTCTAGTCAAATAACTTTAGAAATTAATAGGGGGAAGGGCGTGTGTGTGTGTGTGTGTGTGTACACATACATACATACACATATATATACATATATATACACATACATATATTTGTAGTTCAGCTGTGATTTAGACCAAGTCATAAATATATACTTAGGGGACCAAGTGATTCTCATTAAAAAGCAATTTAATATTTTCTCTTTCTTTAGTTGTGCTTACTAACTAGAGCAGTAACTGATTGTGAGATTTTTATGCTGAGATAATGAAAAATTTGCTTTAGATGGTCTCGGTGGTTCTATGGAGGGTATTTTAGTTATTGCCATGATATTTCAATGAAGCTTCTTGCAATATTGTTAGTAGCTGTTACTAGAGAATCTAGAATTAATGAGAGATGAGGTTGGGGGAAACTACTTATTAAATTTAATCTTGGACTCATCTGACAGTCCGGGATTTTATGTGGAATTTTATGTTATATAGATTGAGTATATACATAAAAAGCCTCAGATTTGGGAGGGATTGAGTTTTATGTTCAACAACTTTCAATAAACGGTATATTGCATAAGATGTAAAGTGGAAAAAATATAAGACAAAACTATCTTTAATAATCTTGTCATAGTACATAATCAGATTCCTAATTTCATCTTCATACCGTATTTACTAATAGTATGTTTGATGTTTATATTGAAAAGTGGTATTTGGCAGTAGAATAAAAATCTTAACTTATATTGAGGTAGCAGTGTTAGACAAATTCTGACTGCTTGCTAGAGATTCCAAAAATGTGTCATTCACAGCAGTTCACATCCATACAGAAGAGCACCAAAAGAGTAATTCACCCGAAAGTCTTCACACACATGATCTTCTCATTTCTGGTAAGTGTACTTTCTACATTGAGTTACAACATAATGTCTTTATGACTGCTATGCAGATTTGAGTCATTATCTATTAAGTTAACTTTTCAAATGCATTATCCCAAAGAATTGTTTACTATTGGTGTATCCACATTATAGTAATGAAATCTTTTAGTTAAGTGATCCTTTTCTTTTTTTTTTTTTTTTTTAAATGTTTTTTATTTATTTCTAGGAGAGAGAGAGACAGCGTGAGCAGGGGAGGGTCAGAGAGAGAGGGAGTCACAGACTGAAACAGGCTCCAGGCTCTGAGCTGGCAGTCAGCACAGAGCCCGACGCGGGGCTTGAACCCACGAACCGCGAGATCATGACCCGAGCGAAAGTCGGACGCTTAACCAACTACGCCACCCGGGCGCCCCTAAGTGATCCTTTTCTTAAAAAGAATTGGCAGCTGGGCAGCCTAGGTGGCTCAGTCCGTTAAGCTCAGGTCATGATCTTGCAGTCCATGAGTTTGAGCCCTGTGTTCGGTTCTGTGCTGACAGCTCAGAGCCTGGATCCTGCTTAGGATTCTGTGTCTCCCTCTCTCTCTGTCCCTCCCCTGCTCATGCTCTCTCTTTCTCTCAGAAATAAACATTAAAAGAAAAAAGAATTGGCAGTAGATTTCTTCTTTTTTTAATGTTTGTTTATTGTTGACAGAGAGATTATGACCTGAGCTGAAGTTAGACGCTTAGCTGACTGAGCTACCCTTGAGCCCCAAGAATGTTTACATTTTTATCTTAATACTTCTTACCTGGCATCGAACAGAAAGACTATGGTGGGGTCTGTATGTGTGGTGCGTGTTTTCTTCTTCACCAGGGACGCTTGAGGGGGGTCTTCCATCAGCCATAGTTCAGGCTTCATGTAGCATTAGGGTAAGATTTTCCCAGGGGTCACTCAAATGATGGTACTTTTGGTCTTAAACCCCTGTGTTCTCTCATTATTTATATGTAATTTTGTTTAAAAAATGTTTTTTTAATTTTTTAAAATGTTAAGTATTCTTGAAGCATTTTTGTGTGTAAAATTATTTGGTATGATCAGATCTGTTATTTGATGGCTTTTCATTTATCCTCAACTATAGTCTTTCAGGGAGTAGGAATGAAGAGTAGGATTTCATATTGATACCAAAAGATAAAGCACAGTCACCATAGTAAATAGTAAATAGTGAAATTAATCTCTCTATTAATGTGACTTACAAATTACCTAGATGGTATTTGAAGTAAGTGCTTTTTATACAGTGCTCTTGCTTTATAGAGCCATGTAGGACTCATGTAAATTGGATCTCTGACTTTATTTTTAGGCAGGGTTGGGTTAAGGGCTTAGCATACTAGCATCCTGATTTAACATTTACCAGCTTGTGACTTTAGCTCTTTCTGATACCTAATAATGTTCATTGACTTGCTTTGCTTTGACAGTTTTTTTTTTCTTTTGCCTGTTTGATTACCAATGATGAGGAAATACAAAGATTATATTAAAACGTGTATGTTGGCAGGTATAGCTAATAAGCAAAATAAGTCTTTTCTATCTGTGATCATTACCCATTTGAATCTGCGGAAGCTTTATTTACATCTGAGCTCCTGATATTGCCAAATACCTTTATATTAGACATGTACTTACTTGGATAACTCATGTAACATCACTGAGCCTTATTTTTTTGGGTGTTAAATGAGTATAACTTAACCAATATAATTGTAGACCTTTTTGAAAATGTTCAAATTGTAAAACATCATAGATGTTTAATAGAGTTATATTAGAAATTCTGTTTTTTTAAAAAAATACTTAACGTTTATTTATTTTTGAGAGAGACCGAGAATGAGTGGGGGAGGGTCAGAGAGAGAGGGAGACACAGAATCTGAAGCAGTTCCAAGCTCTGAGCTGTCTGTACAGAGCCCAACATGGGGCCCGAACTCATGAACTGTGAGATCATGACCTGAGTTGAAGTTGGCTGCTTAACCAACTGAGTCACCCAGGTGCACCTAGAAATTCTGTTTTAATATTTTTACCAGAAATCAACAAAAGCTTTGGGGATCCTATTAAAGTGATCTTATTGTAAGTTTTCTGGCCTGATCTGTGACCAGTTGTAATCCATAAATCCTGGTGTATTTTGGCCTTTATTAATAAACTTCATAATTGTTTTTTCTTGAAAAATATCTTCTGATTTAATTCAAGGTTTAACTGTAAGTGTGCTTTGGAAACCCTGTCTCCCCTCCCCCTCCTTTTCCTTCTTCCTATGCCTATTATTTTTAAGCCATAAAACTATAGTCATTAATGTCTAATACCTACTTATAGTTAAAAAATTTTACATTCACAAGTACATTAACATAACAAATATTCCAAATTTTATAGAATCATCCCAAGATAAAATGAATCCTGAATTGGAAAATCATATTTCTCAAGAAGTTGATAGTGAAAAAATGGAAATGTCTTCTAAAGTGATGCATGTTTGTGATGAAAATCAAAATGAAAACAAAATGGAAATGACGGAGAACGTTGACGTCCTTACACACCAGATCACCGTGCGGCGCGAGGACCTGCAGTTAGGGGAACCCAGAATGCTAGCAGCCACAGAAGAATCACGGCCTCCAAGATTGTCCTTTGAATCTGTCACTGGTCCGCCAGAAACCCTAAGGTCCCCGTGTGAGGAAAGTACTTCTTTATGTTCTAAGGAACAATTGGCTATAGAAAGGGTACAAGAAGAAATGGAACAGAAAGTTAGTTCTGAATCTTCTGCTGTGTTTATGGACTTTGAAGTGGCTCCTGTAGTTGAGAGTTGTGTGAAGGATGGTTTATGCCAAGAAGACAAATCTGTAAAAGTACCATCGGAGACCGAGTTGTCATTTTCGTCAGCGGCAGGTGTAAGCAAGGCAAATGTGTCTTCCTCTCCACTCTCTTCAGACTTGCCTTCCCAGGACATACTGCATAGCTACCCTTCAACCCTCAGTGCTTCTGTTGGAAACATTATGCCAACAACTTACATCTCAGTCACTCCAAAAATTGGCATGGGTAAACCAGCTATTACCAAAAGAAAATTTTCTCCTGGTAGACCTCGGTCCAAACAGGTAGGGTGATTTTAATGATATTGACAGAAAAATATGATGGAGCAATTATATAAAATAAGGCGTATGTGGACCTGTGGTTTGGAGGGTAATTTTTCGTATTTTCAGGTAGAACTTAGATGTAATGTTGACCCTGAAGTGTTTTGGCCATTAAAAAAAATTTTTTTTTAATGTTTTTATTATTTTAATTTTTGAGGGCATGAGAGAGAGAGAGACACTGAGGGCCATTGGGGAAGGGGCGGAGAGAAAGGGAGACAGAATTTGAAGCAGGCTTCAGGCTCTGAGCTGCCAGTGCAGAGCCCATTGTGGGGCTTGATCTCAGGAACTGCGGGATCATAACCTGAGCCAAAGTTGGACACACAACCAACTGAGCCACCCAGGTGCCCGGGCCTTTTTTTTTTTTAAAGAAGCTGTTAATGAAGACTAATTATTAAACTTGATGTGATCATATTCAGAGTTTCCACTTAGTTGGGACATACAAATGCAACCTATTTGATTACAATTTCTAATAGAAAACACTTAAGTTTTTTTAAATTCTATGCCACGGTAACAATAGAGAGCCTTACGGAAAAAAATGATAAATTACTAGGTTTACTCTAAATAATCTTAATTTTCCCCATCTGCTGTATTTGGTCATTGATATTATTGTTTATATTTCTACCTGCTTAAGCATTAGAATTTACTAAGGGAAATTTTCATGGTGGGGCTTTCTCATTGTGATTTTTCTGTTAATTGCCAACTTTTTTGGTGAGTCTCCTCAGGTCCACCCCAAGTTAGGACTTCTTGTTTTCATGAAGAAATCTTAGAAGTGCAATGTTGATCTTTAGGAAGTGAAGGGAGCTCTTCCCATGACTGTCTTAAGTAGTGTGGATTCTCCCTTTTAAGGGCAAGCCCCAGTTCTTAAGTGGGATTTAAGTGAACCACTAACCACAAGACAAAGTGAAGACACTGTAGCTCAGGTTTATTTATTCTACAAAATTTCTCTTTTCTGAAGTTGTTACAAAATGGCAAGATATCAAATGGTGCAGAAATGTTGAGTCACAATGGTAATCTGAAGTTTCCAGTCTTGTGATTTGAATTGCTTCCAGTGGTTACAGTTGGATTTTATAGGAGAGTATCATTTTGATCTTGACCATCCAATTTTGAAATCCTAAGGATAAGTAGAAAAGTAGAATTTTATTTTAATGTGAGAATTAGTCTCCCTTAAATAAATTCCAGGTCTATTTTATTTTTCTAAAGACAGCAACTTGCATACTAAAGGCAAAGTAATCACCCTGTGGGACTGAACTGTTTCTCTGTGGCAAAGACATACCCAGTAATCGAAGCCACCCCATATATATGCCTTTCTCTGAGTATTTTCTGTGATACCTACGTTCTGCCAAGTGAGGTTTTTCTTATCAAACCAATTCTCCTCCTTACTTTTTTTTGTCTTTTTAAATAATCTTTTAAATAATTGTGTGGTTTGGGCTCTGAAAAGACTTTAACAATGGAAATTTGAATCTCAAATTTAATTTTGATTCTGAGATTTACATTCTTTAAGGATATTGCATCATAAATATTCCTGTCAAATTTTACTCGATTTCTCCTTATTTGTAGACTTCTGTTCCAACTGAGGAACCATTAGGATTAATTTTTCTGATGACGTGTATTCCAAGATCTATGTGTATGTGAGTCTGAGTGTATGTTAGCGTGTGCGTGTGTCTTCCATGTTTATCCCATTTTATATGACCCGTGTGCTCATCTTTGCTGCTGTGTCTGCCGTGTTGTCTCAGCCCCCAGTTCTGGTGGTGGTGTGCTTTCTGTGGAGTTGCCCTGCTCTCACGACTGCTTCAGAATTTACTGCTAATCTCACAAGCAGGTCATGGCCAGATTGAACCTTGCCGTTAGCTTGGTTTTAGTTGTATAGCAAACAGCCTTCCCTTGCTAAGGCACCGCTGTTTTTGTGGAGAGGATGCGTTGGATGGAATAAGGTAGCTCTTTTATTTTTTATCATTGCCGAGGTACTGTGATCATAACTTCCAGGGAATATTCCAGTGTAGGTCCTTGTGTTGGGAATTCTGAAGTTCATTATACTGTTACATGAATATCTTTGATATCAAGCATTCCTGTGTTTTATCTTTGGTTTTATTTAGTGTTTAATTTGTATGTTGTTGGCAGTGGGGATTGGCTATGAAGTGAGATGGATGTTCACGGCAGTGATGGTGATATAAGCAGGATTCTTTGGTGTTCAGCTATGTTTTGATTGTTAACATCACTAGCGTTTCCATATTTTGTTGAACGTCATCAATTCTATGGTCTTTACCAAGATAGTGAAGGCTGTCCTAACCAAAGAACTGCATGTTTCATTGGTTAAATTCTGTTCCACAGTTGTCAAGTTGTTACATTTATCTTAACCATTTTCTGACATTATGTGAGCTTTTCTAAGAATTTCCTTAGAAATTAAATGAATAATTAGAAGCAGGAAATCTGAAAGCTTTAAAATTTGATGTGACAGCTAATGATTGGATTTTTAGATGTTTTCTGGAGAAAGGAGTTAGTCAGTAGAAGGGTAAGCCAGTACTATCCAATAGAAATATAATGCAAATATATTGCAATATACCTCATGTATCTACTTTTAAAATTTCTAGTAGTCCACTTAAGAATTAAAAATAAGAAGATAGGATAAATTTTAATATTTTATTTAATGTATTAAATATTTTAGCATTTAATCTGTATAAAAATTATTAATGAGATATTTTACATCCACTTTTCGTGCTAAGTGTTCAAGATCTGGTTTCCAACCAAGAACATTAGATGCACTTGGTAGACTCATGGCTAGTGGCTACCTTATTGGACAATGCAAGGAAAAGCATTTTTAAAAATAGGAAACTTTTCATTCTAGAAGGAGCTAAATTTAAAAAGAAATACCAACTGAATTTAAGACAAATTACAAATGGTGCTGTGCTTTCACTACTTTTAAGGACAGACGTAGGAATACTCTGTATCCTCTAGTTGCTCAAAGGACACATTTTAAAACATTTTACAAACCCATTTGTAACAAACACTTGTTGTAGCAACAAATCACTGTATATTCCCACTGTGCATTAGATGAACAGTAGAGTTCATGTATACGTACACGTATGTACTCCTGTACATGTACCCGCAGATGAGGACATAGGTAAGAGTATGTGTGTAGTGACACTGGGGTATGGACGGAGATAGAAATCACTATTCTGAACCTGAGATGTCAGGACACAGAACATGGAGTCTCTACAGGATTATTTTCCCTTTGGAAGTGACTAATAATTGAAGTTTAGAGTATATATTGTGCCTTTAATTGGAAGATTTATATTCTTTATGAGATATTTCAAGAGTATCTCTGATGTATGCTTCAAAACTGTACCAAGTCTAGGGATAGTCATTTAAGCCTTTCTGACGGTTGTGGGTAGAGAAAGTTTTTTCTTTTTTGTTTTCGTCCTCCTTTAAGACACAGGATTTCACGAAGGAGGAAGAATGTAGACATGGTAGGTAGTTAAGAGAAGGAAAGTGGTGGAACACTGACCAGAAGCCAGTTGGAAACGGTTTCATAGAAATGGTACCAGTGAACCAGTTGACTTTTCTTTCCTTTGTCCTTTATTGAAGCTACTCATTTATATATATTTTAGTGTTTCAGTTCTCCGTGTTTTTATAGGTATATTCACTTTGGGCCTTAGGTTTAGAAAAGTGGTTACTGGCTTCACTGCATGTTGTAATCTCCGGGGGAGCCTTACAACCATATCTGTGTGATGCCCCGACCCCATCCAGTCAACACAGCCTCTGATTGGCGTCTTTGTCCTTACCCTTGGAAGTGGACTCCAGAATTAGAAATTTGTTACCGTGATGCATGAAACACAACACAAGAAATGCTTTTAAAAAAGTGGTGGAAAATAGGGTGGAATTTTTTAAAATTTCAGCATATCAAATAATGTAATGTGTTTTTCATTTTCTGTTTATTTCTCTTATTCCACAGTTGTATTTATCCATTCTAATTCAGAAATTCTGAGATAATAGTGATCTCATTCTGTCTTCTGTCATTTACCCTATTCGTGTCATCTTATTTTATGGAAAAATATTTAATATAATCATATGACTTGATCTGCCTTAGACACTCAGGTATTACGTGATAGTATTGAAAGAGCTTTATTGAACCTATGAAAAATATTTTATTGACATGTTTTATATCTTTCATAAAAGTAAACATAAGTACTCAACTATAATTTGAAAACTCAGATTCTAAGAATTTTTTTCATTTTTTAATTTTACATCTCCATTTTTTGTTGCTAACATCATATATATGGAGAACTCATGAATTTCTGTTAAGTTCTAAGATTGGTATTTATTGAGGGTTCTCAGAGAAAGTGAAATTTCTTCAGTATAGTAGGTTTCCAAAGGTAGTATCATAACTACTTTCCATTACGTTGTGAAGTGAATTTTTAATTTTTTTATTAATTTAACTAATTTTGTTAGGAACCATAGAATATTATAACCTACTTGTCTCCTGTAATAGCATTTTAAACGAAGTGTTTCAAATTAACAAGTCAGTTTCATAACCTACTCTTGTGAGAGAAAAACAAACCTCCAGAGTGTGTCAGCTGTAGAGGATTGTACTTTTGTTAACAGTTAATTACAAGTAACCAATTTCTTTCTTTTTTTAAATAGTAGACACCATTTATGCTTTGTAAACACAAATTCTTTAGTAAGCACTGTTAGTTTTTGTTTTGTGTTTAAGGTTTAAAAAAGGCAGATATATAAGTCATATTGTCCAAATCGAGGTTCAGTTCTTGTTAAATTATTTCATATCCAGCTTTTTTTTTTTTTTTTTTTTTTAACGTTTTACTTATTGAGAGAGAAAGAGACAGAGCATGAGCAGGGGAGGAGCAGAGAGGGGGAGACACAGACTTCGAAGCAGGCTCCAGGCTGTCGGCACAGAGCCTGATGCGGGACTCAAACTCTCAAACAGCAAGATCATGACCTGAGCCGAAGTC